AACATACACACACACACACACACACACAAAACGTATGTTGTGTTTCAGTTCGTTTTTTCTTTTTTTCTTTTTTTTCCTTTTCAGAAAAATGTCTTCCCGCTGGAGTCCCTCCTCTTTCTTCTCTTTCCTTCTTCTCTCCACCACACTCTTCCTCCTCCTCCTCCTCCTCCTCCCCCTCCCAGTCATCCAAGCGACCAGCGCTCAGCAGACCATCTCATCCTCCTCAAACTTCGCACAGCACAACGACAACAACAACTACAGCAACAACAATAACAGGAAAAACAGCAATAGTTACAAGATGGAAACCAACGCCAGCAACAACAATAACAAAAACAGCAACAGCAACAGCAACAACAGCAAAACCAACAACAACGAAGACGACGGCGAAGAAGAAAAAGGAGAAGAAGATGAACACCAACCCCTCTTCCTCACCCCTCTCCTCAACTCGGGGCAGGCGGAAAAAGCGCGCGAACTGAGTCACGTGAAGGGCGACGACCTTCCCAGCAGCCACTCGGGCTACTTGACTGTAGACGAGGTCAAAGGTCACCACCTGTTCTTCTGGTTCTTCCCCTCCCCCCGGGACACCCCCAACACGCCCCTCCTCCTCTGGCTCAACGGAGGCCCTGGCGCCTCCTCCATGCTGGGCCTATTTCTGCTCAACGGACCGCTAGAGGCCAGGCTCGGGGAGGAGGGGGAGGAGGGTCCTCAGTTCATCAAGAGAAACGCCTCGTGGGTGGGGCCTTTCTCCATGCTCTACGTGGATCAGCCGGTGGGGGCTGGATACAGGTGAGGATGGGTTTGGGGTTTGTTTTTTGTTTTTGGAAAGGGGGTGGGGTTTTTTTTTTTTCTTTTTTTGTTTGTTTTGGGGCTGTTGTGGATTTTTTTGGTTGGTTTAGGGGTGGGTTGTTTGTTTTTGGTGTTTGTTCATTGTTCATGTTGTTGCTGTTGCTGTTGTTGTGTTGTTCTAGTTGCTGTTGTGGTTGTTGTTGCTGTTGTTGTGAGTGCTGTTGTCCCTCCTCCATGCTGGGTCTGTTTCTGCTGAACGGTCCGCTAGAGGCCAGGCTGGGGGAGGGGGGAGGGAGGG